AATATAAGTTCTTGACGTTATTAACTACTGCTTTTGACGGAGTGAGGTGTAAGTAAACGTTCTAGTTGGTCAGTCGTAAGTAACATAACCTGGTACATGAGTGTATTGATTAATGGTCAGTCATAGTCGTGTTCAATCGTATCTGGCTTAGTCATTGCACATTCGTCATTGTTTCGAATTTATTCATCCCCAAGAATCTACGATCGATGAACATATATGGATTTGTCTACAATGCAAACAAACACTATAAAACCACGTGGGAGCATAAAGAAAACGATACATCTAGAAAAATTTATTCATATACCAAAGCAGAACTAGAGTTTGTTAAAAGAAGCTATATCAACTGACTGCACAAATTCTTCAAACTTTGTTATTTCTTCTTCTAACATATCAGTTCCGACCTGAAAAAGAGACATAGGCAATATTCTACTTTAGAGACTCAAGAATTCTGAGAATACAATTTCAATTGAACTTATTGATTAAATAAATGCTCTTGACAAACATTTGACTGAGAACGCATACCTTATCATCTTCAATAACACATGCAATTTGGAGTTTCATAATCCCATAAGCCAAAGGGACAAGTTTTGACGAACCCCATAACAGCCCATCGGCTTGAATACTACGGACAGCCTTTTCCATCTCCGCCATATCAGTTTCGTCGCCCCACGGTTTTACATCAAAGACAACCATAGACTTTGCTGCAGGAATATCCTTCTTTGCTTTTTTCTCTTCGTAAATAGCCTGGCGCTCACTTCTTAGTTTTTCATATTCTTCATCATCATCATCATCATCAGAGCCAAATAAATCGAGCTCGTCACTCGCGGCAGGCGATGTACATTTAGCTAAAAGAGAAGGAAATGCAATTTAAACCATAGAGCTCTTGACTACCTGGTTCAGGATTGGCGGATTCCTGTGGAGCAGGAAACGTTTTTTGTTCCGCACCAAAAGAGTCAATATGTTTGTACCAGCGTAAAATATTGCCAAAATCTGATGACGGTGACTTCCGAGGGCTATGAAAGTTGAGACATCCGCTTCAGTAGGCTGAAACCTACAAAAATATCATTATAAAATGGATTATGGAGCGTGTTTGCTAATAATAATTTCGACACTAGCTATACTAACAGACCCAAATATTAACCCAATTATTCGTAGAACTGTTATGCCAGGCAGTAATCTAGAGTTTTTAACAACACTGTCAAACATATACAAATGAACTGAGTTCATTTATTGAAAATTTAGTGGACCAATATATTTCAATTTGGTTTATTAACAATAAAAAGTTAGGTAAAAAGTGGACACTGAAAAGAAACGTCCGCATGCCAAATTGGATGGACTTTACAACGTTTCCTATGTGGTGTTAATACACCATTTAACTGCTGAGGAAAAAAAAACTAGATGATGCGCTACTTTGAGAACTTTACCGTAATAGGTTGTTGCTGTAGCTTGTAAAGACATCATTAATAATTATTGGACGAACTTAACTCTAACCTTTCTATTTTTGATGGATATCAGGATAGGTTAGGATTTGAGACTAAATGAAAGTACTGCATGATTGGTCTGAAGTGTTGTTTTGCAGAAGAAATTAGTTTCAGCCAGACTCAGAAATGACAAGCATTCCAAATAATTTATATCCGACGAAACTTTAATTTAAGGACTTTAAAGCAATACGAAGATATCTTTGAGCTTTCACAGAATTATGGGAAAAATGAGTTTTCACCACGGACTAACAACACTCACAATCCCATATTTTTTCCACATAGATGAACTCAAGGTTTGTAGTCTTGATTCAGATCGATTTGTTCATAAACGACGGTCAGCCCACGACTTTCAGGATGTACTTGGAATACGAACTGGCCAACACTTGGTACAACAAAAGGGAGTACACCCATGGCGAAATGGTTTACGGAGCATATATGTGATGGGAAAAAATGCAAACTCAAGATTCAGGCTTTACAGGAGTTTGAAATACCAATAAACATGTACGTTCATCCATTAGACGAATTTACTACACCACCGTACATACGCAAAATTCACACTAACCCTGATATATAACTTCTGGTAAGCAGATAATCATCTAGCTTCTTCAGGGCCGAAGCGGTTTTCAAGTCACCAAAATTGATCATTCCGTAGCGTGTGAAAATTCGAGCCTGGCGCTGGGAAGAGAGCTATCGGTAGAAGATAAAAACACAAATTGATCAAACATTTTAGTAACTTTTGCCGTCAACATCAGAAACGCCACTGTACTAAAATATGTAAGGCGACTAGTAGCACACCAACCTACATTCTTATATCTGTTATCACTCAAGGAGCAAAGGCTGATAACCTCGATTCTATAACCTACTCTCCTTAAGACTCTCATTGTTTTTAAGTGCTACTCATTCCCCATGTGTCCACCTCCGATTCACAAAGCAATGTGTTTTGGTCTGCCTCTATTCTTTTTGTCTTGGGCATATTAAGCATAGGTTTGGTTCGCTGTAAGGTCTGATGATTTCCGCAATATGTACTATCCATCAACAGCATATTTTCCAGATTTCCTTTTCAACTGGAGCCCGGTTTGTTATATGCCACAGCAAATTGTTGCTGTTTGTGCTCATGCGTCCGAACTGGAGGACCTTGTGTACATCTTCGCGCAAAAATTTTTGAAGATGGTTTTAGTAGTTCTGAAAGTTTCAGACTCGTACAATAGAACTTTCTTGACATTCATTTTTAAGATTTCAACTTTGATGTCTGCTGGAAGTATTTTTTTAGTCCATAGCTGGGACTCGTCGTAATCTTTATTTAAGATATAAAACCCAGTATCAATTTAGATCATGAACCATCACCTGTTAGAGTTTTTTAAGGCAGAGAAATAAGTTACACCTGGAGAGAGATGGGATGCGAATACTCAATTTTACACCTACTGATATGAGAGACCTAATAACACTGCCTAAAACGGAAACAATTTGCTACCTAATGATCATACTAAATGGTCCGGAAAAATCATAGGGCCTTCTTTCAGAAAAAGTTGCTAGCTGAGATCAGTAACAATTTACGTGACAGGCTGAGGAAGTTTTAGTCATATAGCGACAAGGTATTTGGGAGCAAGTTCAACCTATTCTCGAAGAACTTGGTAAAGACTCCTTAAATGATAACTCCAGATATGCCTTATAAATGACTCCCAGGTGTTTTGACACATTTTGTTCGTTATCGTCGTATTTATGGGAGATATTAAAAATAAGTAGTGGAGATCGTGTACATATGTAAACTTTAGCTTGGCCGAAAAAATGTTTCCATGGCAAGTTACTGTACTAAGCGGTGTGCACTATATTGTAAGATGGATCTATCAGAAAGATGTTTTCGTGACAAATATCATCTGAAATCTATTTTCGCCGTAGAAATTCGTTATTTTGGAGATCCTCTGAGAGGTTGAAGTTTAATCGCGTTGCTTTCAGTTTTCTAAATACGATTCTGTGAATTTGTTGAATCTTCAAAGTAATAACAAGACCGACAGATGACATGGAGTCGCAGACGTATAAATTTGTCTGATCATTGTGTTCAACATTGTTTAATTTATTACAGCCTTGTACTACGCTTGCAAACGCTCATTTTGTTGCTTCAACATACCGTCTTGAGGAAAAGTCCAGTAGCTTGGTTAGTCTCTATTAGTGTTTACCTATCAAACTTCGCTGTAAAATTTGTTCGAACAGACTGTGAAATCTTGTCTTCATACGATTAACTGGTGTCAGTTTGCAAAACGTTTCGCATTATTGAATAAGTGTTGCCAAAGTATCTTACCTAGTAGTACAATAAAAGGCGTGCGCCTATTCTAGTTATCATTAAGAGGTAGATGACTGAGAATTCGAGATTGATTGCAAATTATTCAGGAATCGAAATCTTTGAATTGTTAGTGTTTTTTACACCAGAAAATTCGCAAGAACACAAAACGTTCATGTACTGTGTACCATCTGCTGGCTTATTGTCATGGAGCTGCATATAATTTAACTTATACTTAATTCAGTTTTCACAACACGAGGCCAAGTGAAATTCTTATTTAATGGGACCCAATTCTGGATAATGCAAATAGTTTCTGTTCTCATGGAATGGTAATGAGAAAGAGCTGAGGAACTAATGATACATAGTGACCACGACTGCCAGTATATGGGTACCATCATAGTTAACGTTCGATATGTATGTAAATATATGATTAATCGCGAAATTTCCAGACCACTGAGTTTCATTATTGCCTTCCATACTGGCTGTGTTAACAGTCTTTGAATTAGGAGTAAACCGTTTTCTATATGAAGCTCTCGAATGTTTACATTTTAATTTTCATGTCCAAAATTTTAGTCGGTTTCTTGTAGTTCGGAGTAATTCGTGTGCTAGACCAATGAATTCTGTGAAATGATACACCTTACTAATCAACACTTTCTACTGAAAAGTCTTATTTAATAAGGAAACGGATTTTATTGTCCTTCAGTAAAATATGATAATCCAATGATAATAAACCAAGTAAGTGATAAAATAATTGACGTTCTATTTGTTGAGTCAACCGTGGGGGAAAATCAACTTATGGAGGTCGTGATCGAACTATCAAAATTGTCAGTTGCACTCGCTCAACACTTCTCAGTGTCTCCCTTTTCAGATATTCATGAGTTAAGACGAAACTTCATGGTCGAGTTACTGGTCCCCTGGGATAGATATCTATGAATATCTATGAATAGTTTGACTAGAATTTGGTGTTATTTAGTCATTCCGGCCATTATTCAGGCACAACACAATATGGTCAAAATGATCTGTTATATATTTGTCTTACCAAGGAGGATGGGATTCCGAATTTCCTCAAATTGCCTAATAGATTCGTTGCAACAATGGGTATGGAGATCTCTGGACAATGTAGGTTGTAGAATCGATGTTTGAGGCGTGTGCTACGTTACTGTTCATTGCTTTACCCGTATTTATATAGACTATGATTTTCCTAATGTCCATGAGAACTATTTTTCGTCTTTCATTCTGCCTTTTATATCTGTAATTTATTTTAATCTTCACAGCGAAAAACCTAGTTCACCTGTACTTCTGGATGTTCGGGTTGGATGGCTTTTATGAGAATTCTGCCCTGAAGAATGACTTCGATTTCATGCTTGCCAGGGGTCATATATCATAGTTAGTATACTTGTTGCTTATTTATGAACATTTTCAACAGTTTTGAAATTTTTAATACAAAAGGGACTTTAAACTAACAATTATACAAGATCACTCCAAACATGTTTTCGAATGTGAGAGACTGTAACTGATATATCGGGAAAAACCTAAGAATATTAAATTGTAGTTTAGTTGAGAGATCATTTTGATTTCTTTTTCTGTTCGCATGACAGATACCTTTGTTCAGTTCCCGCATTTTGAGAACCATATACAGTCGATATTAGCTTAGTATGCAATATCAGAAACGTTGTCTATCACCGGACGTAACATTTTGTGCAAAACACGAGAGACGTCATCGCAGTTCTGTTCGTTTAGCTCAAGGCCGCCAGGATATTATACTTTTACCGTCCTTTGCCTCGTCAAGTACTTTCCTCGTTTAGTAAAGCGGCATAAATTAAGGTGGGATTATCACTTATTTAGCCTCCAGCTAGCCGAAATCAAAATTATATGACAATAGGAAAAATGTAATGACCTACTGTTATTGCTGGTCAACACAATATATTGCTCTGAAGTATCGCCGCACACATTTGAAACCATTATGAGCTTCATATATACATATATCGACAATTTCGAACTTCAACTAACGGATAATGCTTTCATCTAGTCACATATGATAGAATGTCGTCCGTAGACTTCTTCATTCCAGGGAGCGTCCCTCTGTATGACAACTCCGACACATCGAAAGGTGTGTTGGTGGTTGTTGGAATCCTGTGTGCTGAGAATTCTATATTGTACTAAAATATAATATTGAATGAAGCCACATACTATCCGTATTTGTTTTGCTTATTTCAAACACTGCAAGTTTTATTATGGCCGCGAATGGACTTTTGATTAAACCTTATTCAAAATGAACCGCTTCCAAACCATCTTATGGAAGAATGATTCGATAAGATCAACGCCTGTCTCAATTTTAGTTCATCATTGATGTTTGAAGAAATGACAGTAGCTAATTGACATTAATAAAATGACAATCACGATACAAGCCCGAAATTTCACAAACCCCGCTTTCGAAACACATTCCCTGTGTATGAATACAAATCCTCAGTACTGTGAAACCACATTCATCCTATCGTTGTCTATGCTGTTTGGACTGAGAGTGCAATATTATGACTTCACCCTGCGAATAGTAGTCCAAACTGCTGTCCACGCGAAATTTGAAGGTGGTAACTGTTTTTCACGTGGTTTATGAATTCTTCGACGTGTTCATTCGTAGGGTGCATTATACGGAGACTATCATCCTATCTTATATATCAAGTACATTTTACCCCGAAAAAAATTTCCGACGGACACTTTCAAGATAGTATTATTCTTATAGTGGACTTAATTCTTAAATAGATCTGAAATATATTATATACGCATAAACTTTGATCCTTCTATAAACCCGGTTAAAACTTATCTACAACTATTTACTGAAATATTATATTCAGTTAAACAAGCTCTCTACTCACCCAGTTTCAAATCATCACCAATAACTCTAGTAAAAGAGAAATTTCGGCGAAACTCTGATTTATGGACAACCTTTGAACGAATCTTAAGTGACCTTGATGAATATTAGCCAATCAGCAAACAGTCAGTATAGAGTAAAAAGATTTATACAAAGGTTTGCTTACTTACTTACTTACGCCTGTTACTCCCAATGGAGCATAGGCCAAAGACCAGCATTCTCCAACCCACTCTGTCCTAGGCCTTCTTTTCTAGTTCCATCCAATTCTTGTTCATTTTTCTCATGTCTATCTCCATTTCCCGGCGTAATGTGTTCTTTGGTCTTCCTCTTTTCCTTTGGCCTTGAGGATTCCATGTGAGGGCTTGTCTTGTGACGCAGTTGGGTGCTTTCCTCAATGTGTGTCCTATCCACTTCCAGCGCTTCTTCCTGATTTCTTCCTCCGCTGGGATCTGGTTTGTTCTCTCCCACAGTACGTTGTTGCTAATAGTGTCCGGCCAATGG